GCTCTCCATCCATTCTCTGCCCAGCCTGTGCGTGTGCTTGGGATTGCCCTGACCCACATGCAGGACCTTGCACTTGGCCTTGTTGAACTTGATGAGGTTCTCACAGGCCCACCTCTCTAGCCTGTCCAGGTCCCTCTGGATGGCATCCCTTCCCTCCAGCATCTCAGCCTTCACCTTGCTGTGTCCTGAGCGTGAAGTGCTTCACTAGGAGGGGAGCAAGAATCTTCTTGCCAGTTCTCTGGCAGGTCACTGTCCTGCTGGTGTAGGCCCTTCCTTAGATGGGGCTGGTATCACACCTCGCTGGTCACAGCCCTGTGTTCCCAGGTCCCTCATGCAGGTTACTGTTGGTCCGTCTTTGACTGCAGCAGTCTGCAGAAACACAGTTTTTAATTCTTTCACTTCCTGAGGTGAAGATCCTTACTTTTCTTGATCAGTTCAGCTTGATCTGAAACCGTACAGCAGCTCCAATCGGCTGTCTGTCCTGCCGGGGCTCACACGATGCTTTCATTGCTGCACATCATCCCGGCTTGGCGATGGTAGCAGCGATGGCGCCTCGTTCGTTCTGCTGAGCTCCTGCAGAGCAGCTCCGTGTGCAGCAGGGAGGTATTTCCTGCACTTACCTCTCGTCCTTTCCCCCAGTGCTGTGGAACGTCTACGGGGACTGTGACAACTACGCCACGCTGAAGGGGCACAGCGGGGCGGTCATGGAGCTGCACTACAACACAGACGGCAGGTGAGTGATGTGCGGATGGGCCTGGCTCTTCCTGAAGGAAGGTGTTTTCCACAGTCCCTCGGAGAGCCTTCTTGTTGCCCCTGCTTAGTCCCCACACAGCGATCACTTGTAGCGTGGCTTTCCCAGGTAAGGAGCGGTGCCTTCTTGAGGTTGAACAAAGCTTCTGGAATCACCTGTGACCCGCCAGTGCCTTTGATTTCGGTCTTGAGGAACAGAGGAGAGTTGGTGTCGGTCATCATGAAGTTCAACCAGTGCAAGGTCCTGCACGTGGGTCGGGGCAATCAGGCTGAAAACAGGCTGAGGGAGTTGGGGTTGTTGAGCCTGGAGAAGAGAAGGCTCCGGGGAGACCTTCCAGTACTTAAAGGGGGCCTACAGGAAAGCTGGAGAGGTGTTTTGGACAAGGGCGTGTAGTGACAGGACAAGAGGCAATGGCTTTAAACTGAAAGAGGGGAGATTTCGATGGGATCTGAGGAAGAAATTCTTCCATCTGAGGGTGGCGAGGCACTGGAGCAGGTTGCCCAGAGAAGTTGTGGCTGCCCCATCCCTGGAAGTGTTCAAGGCCAGGTTGGATGAGGCTTTGAGCAACCTGGTGTAGTGGAAGGCGTCCCTGCCCATGGCAGGGGGTTGGAACTGGATGATCTTTGAGGTCCCTTCCAACCCAAACCATTCGGTGATTCTATCTGGGACAGACTGGGAAAGGAAAGAAAGCAAAGGAGATATTTGTTAATTTAAAAGGCTGTTCCGAGCTATTGCCACTGAGTTTTTTCTCCTGTGTTCTTCCCAGATAGTGTTTGAGGAGGTGGAAAACCAATCTATATGTATCTAGAAATGGGGTTTAATAGGAATGCCTCCAGTGCAGCCCCACTGTCAGTCAGCCTCCTCTGAAGTTCCACCTTTGCCTTGCCATACGGAGGAGATTCTGCTCCGTGACACATTCCCACTGAATATTTCAAGCTTTGATTGCAGGACTTGGGAGTAGAAAAGGTGGGATGGGAGAAATGTTTGTGGAATGGAGAGCCTCACAGTGATCCCTCTCCGCAGCATGCTCTTCTCGGCGTCCACCGACAAAACCGTGGCTGTGTGGGACAGTGAGACTGGAGAGAGGGTGAAGAGGCTGAAGGGCCACACATCGTTTGTGAACTCCTGCTACCCAGCGAGGCGAGGCCCCCAGCTCGTCTGCACGGGCAGCGACGATGGGACGGTGAAGGTCAGTGTGCTGTGGAAGGAGAGTCTGGGATGGAAGCAAGGTTGGATCTTTGAAGGAATAGTGGGGGGTCTTCCCATTTAAGCAGGCTAAAGTCAGCCTTTCGTTACTCTTAACGATTTCATTATCGAATAACTTTGATTTCAGAAATACAAAATTCAAAATAAAATCTGACTGCTCTTTTTTTCCTGTAGTTCTTTGGCGGGGGGGAGGGATTAAGAAGATTCATCTGCTCAGTTGTACTTTTCCTACTGAACTGCATGAACAAAGCCTGAGAAAGGCAAGCTGTTAACGAATCTCGCCCACTGAGTCCCTTCTCT